GAGAGAAGGAGAGGGAAAGGAGAGGGAGAGGGATAAGAATGATGGCAGGAACATAAGCGGTGGAACGGGGAGGGCACCGGGGCACCGGGGCCCCTTTGATTTTGCATTTTAGCATTAGCCCTATGGGCGTTGCATGGAAAGAACGAGACCAAAAGTCGGCAGTGCCCCCCCCCCCGCCCTTTAATTGAAGATGTTCCGCCACTACGGAAGAGGGAGAAGGAGAACTGAACTAAGGGCCATGAGGCGAGGAAGATAAATATTAATTATTATACTGTTCTTCCTTGTGTGTACGATTCCGTGACTGATTGACAAACTCTCCCCGTTTTGGCTTTAATTAACCCGCGCCCGGCTGGGGGTCCTGGATTTCCACGCCCTGCTGGGGGGGGGGGGTGTTTGAACACCCCCCCTTCTAACTCGGCTCCTGGGCCACGTAGCGATACGCAGAAGGCGGCGTTCGAAAGAGCGTCAAAAATAATGAGGAAATCACTTCGGTCAATTTTTTGGTCAGGTCAAAGGTCAGGTCACCAGAGGTCATTGAAGGCAAAATTTCGCCGATTTCCAGGTCGAATGTCGAAAATTTCCAAGAAGCCAACGCATAACTCGGGAACCAATAGAGCTACAGCGCCGCGGAAAAGCGCATTCGATAGCCCTATTAACGCCCTTTCTGAGTAATTCTCTCAGATTTGACCTAACGTCAACGGTTTTGCCTGCAGGGGGCAAAAACGGCAAAAATAGCCGATTTTTTCGGAAACAGTTTTTCTGCAATAACTTTTGACCCAAGCCTTGTACGAGCTTACTTTTACCGGCATCGTGTTCCTCTCGTCAAGACGCATCGAATGAACTATAATATGACCTTGAAAGGTCAACTTGAAAATTTGACCTCAGGTCAAGGTCATGACCTGACCGGAAAGGGTCATGTTGCATATCAGTCGATCCGTATCGTCGAGCTGAACACATCTAAGGCGTTTTCATTGCTCTAGCATGCCTCTATCAAAAGTTACTTGCGAAAAACTGTTAGATACCATTCGTGACCTAAGATGACCTCAGGGCATAAATAGGGGTCACGGACACCATTTTCATGTTCAGTGTGTCTAAACCACTTGTAATTCAGTGTTTGGGAGTGTTTATAATGTCTTTCGTCCAAAAGAGGCGCATTTCAATTTTCTCCCATTGACTTATAATGGGGAGGTCGCAAAATTGACCTGACCTTAGGTCATCGATATTAAAATTCTGAGATATACATTTTGTACATGCTATTGCTCTTAGCAATCGCTGAAAGTTTCAAAGCGATCGGTCACTCGGTGTAGCTATGACAGACATTGAAAGTTTTTATGAGGTGAGGTCACTTCAAGTGACCTGGTGACCTGACCTCGCGAAAAACCACAGGGGGGGGGGTGTTCAAACACCCCCCCCCAGCAGGGCGCGGGTTAAACTGAGACAAAAGAACAACTACGACGACCATCTACAGAGTGGAATGGGTGCCTAAAATGGGTGCCTTTGGTATAAATCAAATTCTTTGGTGAACAATCCATGGATCGACGAGGATAATGACATAGGTGAAATGTCTTTGGTTGACATCGAGCTAAAGGAAGTGTCAATTATTTTTTTCCCTAGATGGGTTAAATGCACTAAGTTGACATCGAAATGAAGGAAGTACGAATTCATATTTTCGGAAAAATAATTGGTGTGCCACATCAATCTATTAGCTGCTGCATGCATTGCTGGAGATGGGGCACACTCAGAGCCTTTGTAGTGTGCTTGATTTATTGAGGTCCCGGCCTCACGGAGCGGAAATGATTCATAAGGCGCGCATGTCCGTCATTCCTGTCTCGGTCGACCGAGCAACAACCAAAGTAGCAGCGTAACGCAGGATTAATAATAGACCTCACTGAAACGTCAGTACTTGCAGCAGCACTGTGCCAAACGCCCGAGTAGCAGTCTCCTTCCATTGATTCATTTGCAAAACCATCACCTTCACAAAATCTATATTACTTACAGATAATGTGATAGTTTGTTATTTGGAATTTCATATGTAAAGAAAGCTTGGCATCAATGACAACATATAGGTTATGATAATATCCATAATTTCCCACTAAGGGCTTATCGTCATTTAGTAATGAGAAGTGAGAACACTTGGTCATTGGCTCAAGGCCCCATTTGTTTACTGCAATTGCTTTCAGCATTCTTGTACGCCATTTTTGTGAACTTTTCAATTAAGCGTCCAAGCATTTGTAATACAAAAAGAAATGCCGCGCTATGTAAAAAAGAGTAAAACCTATTCAAAACAGTCAACGGTCAAATAAACACATCTTTGCAATGCAATGATACCATTATGACGCGGAAAAGTTTAGACCATCCTAGCATTTCACACAAGCAATGCCATGCTACACCTTCAGGCATGCAATTATTTGAGAGAGATCCATATAAGTCGATGCACCTACCTTTTTCAACCGTTTGGATCCGTTTGAATGTTCTGGATGTGTCTCAGTGAGGTCGGTATTCGTTCCGACGGAGCAGTCTGCAATGTCAAACGCCTTCCAACGCAGCCACCTCTCCACACGAATATCCCGGATCTCGAGATGGTCACAGTCACAGGTGTGGTCAGATATCAGGGGCTAATCCCGCAGGGTTACTCTCACTGCAGCTCGCCCAGCGGCCGTATTTTTAGCCGCGCGCGCCTGCCCTCACCGCCAGCCGACCGACACGGGACTGCGGGATATCGCCGCCGCCGACACTGCCGCCACCGCTGCCGCCGCCGCTACCGCCGCCGCTGCGTCGCTGTCGTCGCGCGTCGTCGCCGTCACTACCGCTCGTGCCCACCAACGTCGCCGGTGGCACCGTCCGCGGACGCAATATCACAAAGACGCGCATAGCGCGGCGTCAGTCTGTCCGTCTTCTGACGGAAACGCGACCGGCTGTTGGCTGACCGGGTCACGTCACATGACCCGGGTGGACCGCCTGTCCTGTTAGCGGTGTCTCGGCCGGCCGCGCGGCGGCTTGGCAGCCCAGTTGTCTTTGACAGATGACCTCTGACAGCTCATCTGTCAGTCGTTAAACATGACAAGGTGGGCTCCGATAGTGGGCTAACGACGTGTCCGAGAAGGGCCAGTAGCTGTCTTCTGACCAGTGGATTTTCGGCTTTTTTGCAAGCGTACAGCTTACGTGGAGGACTGAAAGGTAGGTATCAGCTAAGGGCCATTCCCAGTCACTACGTGCTGGGTAACGCTGCTGTCTGGGGAAGCAGCGTCACACTGGGGACTGACGAGTACAGCAATCGGCACCCTTCAATTCACGTGGTCTATTGAACAACGCGAGCAAGGCTACTCTAGCTCCAGCGCAACTGCTTCGGCATCATTTTTGCCGTTCTTGACATCTGAAAGGCGTGACATTGATAAACCTTTGACCGTTGGCTGTCTCTGACACAATGCGTCAATACTTAGCTTGAAAATTAGGCAAACACACATTTTCTTCTTAGTGCTTTTACACGTCTTCCACCCTGTCGTTTAAAACTGCCTCAGCGCGGAGCTGGTAGCCACCACATGCTGTGGATCTAAAGCGTGGAGGTTTTAACCAATGACAAAGACAGAGTCTAATCTTTGGCATCCCCAATATAGCATCAACATTTCATTGAAATCCATAAATAACCCCATCTTGGTCGAGCGCATAAGGCTATTCGCGCTCCCTCAACAAATGTCAGCACAATGGGACATCGATCTTCATCAGGATAATATTGTCCATTTCATGCAGCGAAGGAAACTACTTCAAATCGGCAGCTATTCGTGGCATCCTTTATCTATTCGCTATAATGGGAGACCTTAGTAATGTCGTGTTCCTCCCAGGGGAGCTGAGCTCGAGCTTCTTGAAAGCCGCTGCCCACGTGTCAGCTTTTAGCACACGTTCGAAGCCTGGTGTATTTCTAACCACGCGATTAGTGATGTGGTTTCATACAGGATAACTAGCCTAAGTGGTGCTCATACCACCAATTTATTTCACTTTATCCTCATATCCAAAATGACACAAAGTAACTGAGCTAATGAAAACGATGCCTTATTATTTGTCAAAGTGATCACCAATGTGAGGTGTTCTGGATTGAGTGAGGACGCGCCCAGTTATACCCTGACGGCTATTCATTTGTGCGATGAGCGCTCGGCTGTGCCTTTGAAAATTACCACGGTCAGGTGAGCCGGTCCGCCAACTTAGCAGAATGAAAAATGAGCGCACGATGAAATATGAGCTCGTCTCAGTTGCCGGCATCATTACCGTAATATAAGCAAGAAGCGCGGACAAAGGCGGCTGAGTGCCTCAGAGCTGTGAGAGAAGGTGATGGTCTTGGTGACGGAGTGAGAGGCGCTGGGAAAAGCGGCCCACTCCATCGTCACCCCCGGAACTGGTGGCCGCTGACACTCCGCTCACGTCTCGCGGGAAGTCTGTTCCTAATCTGCTGCTCTCTAACACCGTAGCTGAGACAATCCCGTGAGGAGCTGAGGGTCAACACCCGGGCCTGGGGTAGAACGCCACGTAACAATGTACCGAGCCTGGCCAGCTGCCTTCGATCAGGAGCGTCCGGGGTCTCTGAATTTAGCTCAGAGCTCATAGATATTCCATGGTCTATGCCCAATCACCAGGATCCAATCTGGATCCCATCATATCCAAGATGTCATAGAACTCTCATTTAGTTCCTGCGTGGATCGCCCTCCGTCAGTCTAAAATTTGCCCAGATCCCGTCCAGATCCCTCCCGAGCCTGGGTAATCGTCGAGCGATGACCCGTAACTGACAGGCCAAAGACGCTAAAGGTTAGCGGACAGCGGGTGTCGTCGAGGGCACGGACGAGGTCGAGGGCAAGGAGCGGTCACTGGCGCACAGGGTTCGGGAGGCTGCGTCAGACAATAACAGGAGATTATTGCAGCTGGCCGACGGACAGAACAGAAGAGTCGGAGCTGCACGGGACTATGAAGTTGCCTGGCGATGATTTTCTGTAATCGCAAGTAGTGGGACTTACTTGGAGTGAAGTCTAATGTAGACGCACCGGCACACGTGTAGTCGTCTCCTGCAGACGGGCCCCGTCCAGTCCGTCTGCGATCGGTCCGTCTCAGAGTCCGAGTCCGTCACGCTCACTCCGCCCGCGTCCCGCACACTCCGCCAGCCCACTGGCGCGGGCCGCGCGCCGCGCGACCGACCGGTCACGTCCCGCCCCGGGCGACGCACGGGTCTCGGGGCTGCGCACGGGCGCTCCCAGGCAGCTTGCCGGGGCGGTACGCACCGAACTTAACCTAACACCACATTTTCAAAGAAGTTTCCAATTTTCCTGAACTTATTTTGGTATATAAAACTTTCATGTGATTCATCGTTCTTCATAGACAGGCATAAAAAATAAACATAATAAATTTTCGCATATGCCAACTCTGGAAGAGCGCTGCAATTTTTGCACAGGATGACAGTCATTTTCTAATGGGGTGCCGATATTCTCTGCACCTGAAGCGACAGTGCTCGCACTGCAGGTCTGTTTCCAATTATCCCTTAAATCCTGTGTGTCAGTTCTCATCATCACGTGAAGCGATTTCACTGGGTGGGCTGGCCGAAATGTCAGCTCCGTGGAATGTGAAGCTGGCAGCCTTGTCATGACGTGTAATCCCCCCTGCGCCCTATGCCCGGTGGAGCCCAGTCGAGCCGTGCGCTGCGAGTGGTTGACCTGGCCTGATACCGTGCTTCTGGGAACCGGTTATTCAGTATACCCCTGAGGGATGATCGAGGGATGGCTTATTCCCACGTGCAGCCCGACGTATCGCTACGTTCGTCTAATTCTTTCCATTTTCACAGATACGAAAACGCGGCACATCGCGCTACACGTTCATGGGATGTCATTTGCTAAGTTTTATCTCGGGCCATATCTTCAAGCACTCATTCTTTCCCTGTCCCTACTCTATGCGGACAAATTCTCGGCACGGAGGCGCTCTGACCATCATCATGTATCAGATAAACGCCTCCCACAGCTGCTGGTACCTGCAGGCCCTATACCCGGAAGCCGCCCATCGTTCCAACTATCCCGCGGCAGGCTGGCGGCTAGATCAGCCGAGACACTTTGGCTGCTCCGCGCAGAACTGCACCCACTTTTTTCTTTCCGACGACGGGTTCAGAGCGGTGCGCGAGCGGCGCGTTTCAATGATTCACGCTCATGCACAAACTTTGTTCAGACGTTACCGCAGTATTGCTTTATAGCTAACAAATTTCCACGAACGCTTGATACTTATTGATCAATCCTCCAGCTACTGAATAACTAAGAAGCAAGTGTGCCCGACCGCTTCTGTTTTTGCTCAGCATTTAGAGCAGTGTCTCACCTTCCTCAAAACATTTGATTTATTTATCAATCGCTTCAGAGATAGCATAAGTTAAACGCTTCTGAAACTGTTAAATTATAATTTATCGTCTCAACACGCGCCGGGCCTTCGTGTGCGTGTGTGTATGGGGAGGGGAGGGTGTAAGGTTATCAAGTGTAGCTTTCTGCAAGCATCCAGGAAAAGGCGGCGCTGAGCCTCGCCATCTTTTCATGCATTTATTCGTGCATACGAGCATATGCATGCATCGCGCATGCATATGCTCGTATGTCACCCATGCTCGTATGTATGCATCGTGCATCGTGCATATCATATATGATATGTGATGTATGAACGGTTTTCTAAACCTTGCATGACAATCTCAAAATGCAGACAACGCAATACCACACAAAGTGCGTCGTTCATAACAAGCAAAAGCTGGGTGGCTCGCGACCAGTGCGTCCTCTGCGATCGTCTCTTCTGGCAGCAGCGCCACTGCCAGCGAACTAATCGATACAACATTCTCATGAAGTAACTCGCTGAGCCCAGATATACAGTATATACGCGCCGTTCCTTTTTCTATAAGGACGCCCAAATGACAAATCCTCCTCCTCCACGTCTCTAACGTCCTGATCGGGGTCGGACGGTACTGTCACCTTCCTCTGATGTAAGAAGCTGCTTTTTCTCCTCAGGAGCAGGCTCAAGTGCAGTGGACTGACTGTTATTGCGGGCTGGGTGACCTGTCCATCGTGACGGACTCAGCCCCGGTGGCCCACCAGAGTGACCGCCCAGATGATTTTTTTTTTTACCCATGAAATCCTAATATCCTTCAGACCCTGAAAAAGTCTCGTTAGACTGAGAGAACTGAGCCATACAAAACAAACAAACAAGCACGTAGGTATTCTGTTTTAGTCAAAATTGAGGTGTGAGGACCGGGCTCTGTTACCGCACGGAGCTCATGGATCTCGGATGAGCTTTGGACCTGCAGGTCCATAGAAGTATTCCCTGAGCGCAACTAAGCCATACTTGTTTTCCCAGGCTCGACCCCAGCTAGGGTCGAGTTTGCTGATCGTGCAGTAGTTCAGCATGGAGCATCAGAGTGCTGTGCTTCATGTGAAGGTGGCGCTCGAGTCAGGAGTACCACTGCCCGCCAGGTGTCGCCCGCCACCACAGTATCGGACCGAGCCGTCACCGCCGGTATGTGATGCCGCATCGGTGAAACGTTCTGCTGTTATATGTAGGGCTTATAAAAGAGCTATGCGTTTCCTGCCCGATAGGTAGTATAAAAGAGGCTAAGAAGTGTCCGCTGCCTGGGTCAAGACGAAAAATAACATTCCATGCGTTCTTTACTGAAAAGCCTAACGCGACAAAACAAATACCTATACTTGAAGGGGCAGAAACTTTGAGACTACACGTACAGTTTGGTTCATCCAGCCTGCCTTCAGGACAGCCGAATTGTAATTACTTGAACACATGCTCCTTATCGGAGTAAATGCACATTGCTTTGTCTATTCAATGGAAGATTTGAACACCATAGGGGCTGCCTCTCCGAGGCCGAGTCCAGGGTGATTGAGTGGCCGGTAACCTGTTTCGGAAGTGGCCAGTCAGTTTCAGTGTCTCATTGGTAGGTATAGTCGACTACAGAATGATGTTCCACTCCTCAGAAGCTATCAGTTGACTGGAGCGCCAAGTTGTGCCGTTTATCACGCAAGCGTGTCGATTGTGAGCATTGGGACAAAGCTATAATTTGTGAACTCAGCCCGTGTGATGCGGCACAGCCTACCACTCCAGGCAAATAATTGCCTGTGAAAAGTGGAACATCATTCTGTAGTCGACTATACACATCAGCCCAGCTGCAGCGGCGCAGTAGCTGCCGGTCCAGTTTCAATAAACGTGGTAAAATTGACGTTATGCTCATAATATCGGAGAAATTAATTAAAAAAGACCAAAAAAAGGTATATTATCGTACTTGGTTTTTCAGTGACATTTTCAACAGGTGGCCTATTTCCGCCGTTTGCCATTTAAAGTTTCATGAGCTGACTGCTGAGTTAGAAGTTAGAATGAGAACGCCTCCCCCGGCCGCCCCCTGCACAGTGCACATGCCTGTTTGTGACTGAGTTACCACCAACCGGTTTTAGCGGCGGCCAATTTACTGAGCTATGCTATCGATCTGCTGGCACAGTTCCGATATAATGTGTGGGAATATCGGACATCTGAGTATTTAGCTCGGTGTTTATGATGTTGGCCGGCCGTGGTTTGTGCCGATCTGATCCAGGCGTCCACATACCGCGCTGATGACTGAGCCTTGATCTACTAACGGCGCCAGGAGGTGGCGTAATTTTAACAGCGCCAATCCAGCGGCGTCATCCGGTCACCTCGGTGGCGACCATCGGGGTCGGCAGACCACAGACGGACTGGGACCACAGACCACAGACGGACCGACCACATACGGACCTACGAACAGACTCCAGCTGACCAGTGACCACAGACGGACTGACCACAGACGGGCCGACATCGGCAGGCCACAAACGGACTGACCACAGACCAGACGGACTGATCACAGACGGACGGACCAAAGGTGGACCGACGGACCGACCACAGGCGGACCGACACCAGCTAACCACAGACGGACTGAAGCAGCTGATCACAGACGGACCATTACCAGCCGATCACAGACGGACAGACACCAGTGACCACAGACGGACCGACATGGAACTGACCAGTGACCATAGACGGACCGACACGGAGCTGACCAGCGACCACAGACGGAATGATAGCAGCTGACCATAGACGGACCGACGGAGCCGGTCAGGGGACGTTATCCGCTGAGGACAACGAACAGGACACTGGCATCACCAACGGGGGATATATCTGCTCCCATGAGTAAGAGCTTCCGAGTACCGAATACCTCCTCTTCATCAATCACGCACAGGGACAGGCCGCACTGTAGAGCCTCGACCCACGCAGCTCTGCGCCCGTCGCCGACCTCACTTCCCCGTGGCTGACACGCGTCCGAGCAACCTTGATAGTGAAATACGACTCTGAGCGGCAGGCGGCCGCCGCTAGCTCTGGGCTGACCGAGAGGGAGGGGGGGGGGGGGTTCAGTGGGGGCTGACCACACCCTGCCGACCCGCCGGGGCGGGGCGGGGTGGGGCGGGGCGGCCATCTGGGTCAGCCGACCGTTGTGCTCTAGCTATGGGGTGGCCGCCCCGAGCGCCGCGGGGCAGGGGGCGGGGGCGGGGCGGGGGGTGAGGAGGGCGGGCCAGCACAGGATCGGAGCTGGGTTACCATATCTCCGCCCGACAAACGGCGAACTGTGAGGGGTGGCCCGCAGGTCCTAAAATGACGGTGCTACAAATGCGGGTGGAAACACGAAGGGGTGGTCAAGTCTGCTTCGCCGGGGACTGATGTTTTGGTGGCGGGCATTGTCGCTTAGAGAATGCATGCCGATATTCATAGGCTTTAGCATTAAAGGGACTATCCCACCTTTAACATGGGGTTTGAGTTGAGATAGCCAAGTTTGCGGCGAGGTTCAGAAACCACTATCTATCTAGGTTGCAACCCCCGCGGCCTCTTGGTGTTGAAGAAATTCGTTCCCTTCATTTGAAAATGGGCCTTGTACAAGGCCCTATTTTCAACATAGAGCGACCGTTAGTGTGACGTCACCTCGTTTAGTCATTCTGATTTAAATGGGTTTGTTCGTTGAAAAATCGCTTAAAACTTAGTCTGAACTTTGTTGTGGTGCCTACATAGTAAAAAGAATCAGCTTTATGACAGTAATGTGGCCTGGGGAAGGAGGTAATTTTGGGCTGTGACGTCACATATTTGAAAGTTTGTGTTT